AACTTTGTCACAACGAATGTTTTCAAAATGATCTGAAAATCAAAGACAGGCATGACACTTTGGTACCCCGAATTCCGCATGCGCAATACGGTAGGAGCATGGCCAGTGGGTACCAGACTAACCATCTCACATGGCAGATGGCCATAATACCATATAAAATTCTGCTAAATCCACTATGAAACTCTGCCAAATCGCCCAGTATATTGCTGTTCCATTGTGCAAGAGTTTGTTTCAGGGATCTTTCAAAAAATGAAGGTTTTTCAAACCAAATGTGCCATATTTCTCTAGGCTAATCTTTTTTCATTTTCCTTCATCTTTATAATTCTGCCGAAAAAAAATATTCTGATTTTCTGTACTGACTCATTTTTGTATGCAAATATTCTGTCAAATGTAGCCGAAATTTGGCTAGAACGGTCACTCTATCTTAGTTACCGCAAATCACAATACATGTAGAGTGTTTTTACTAATACTAAGTAATAGGCCTACTATGGACTGTCTGATGAAGCGTGGCTATATATAGCCCCATAAATGCGGCCAATTTACTGGACTACCTCCGTAAATATAGGCCACACGTCCACCATGTACAAAAACATGTCGCACTTTGTCAAATTTTGATTTTCACATTTAGCATACGTGTGGGAAATTCTTTGGTAACGGAATTACGCCAATTTGTCACTTTGTCAAGGATTATTCTTTCCCAAGAAAATATGTTCTATGCTAGGCAACTAATCTAAACATGGAAAGGGAGCCAAGACCCAATAGAATTGAAAGACCGCTAAAAAAAAAAATCCCACAAGATTAGGGTAAACTGGGGTAAAAATGCCCGATTTTTAGGTTTTTGTTAAATATCTCAGTACTGCTTGGAGACACCAGGAGCAAAATGTGTGGTTTTATGCAATACATGTCTCCTCTATCAGGTGCAAATATAATATCATGGTCATTATATTGATAAGGGGAAATTTTCCCCCCTTTTCGGGAGGAAGTTTGGCAGGCGTTTTTACCCGGGCCTCGGGGTAAAAACGCCCGCCCACATTTATAAAAAAAAAATTGCTATACCACAGGTTTCCCTATAGTATAGTCCTATTTTTATTATTAATTTAATATGGAGGGATACTTCATCAAATACAAATAACTTTTCAAACACAACTGGTTAATTTTAACTACAAACTTGATCATTGGAAACAGGTATTTTTATGTGGAAGGAAGTGGAACATTAGCGTAAATAATTCGCCCATAACAAACTTGTAGGTTATGATATTGATAAGACCTGCCAATATTGAAAAATCTATTTCAATCTTGTTTAGCCAAATCATAGTTCCATGTTATTAGGCATTCAAGTGTGCTTCTAGCCTACTGCTGGTAACCTAAGGCTTTATCAAAGTAGAACTACGGTACTAAGATACGCACATTTCTGTGACAAGACATATTTCTTAGAGAAAAGAAATGCGTTCATGGAGAAACTTCTACTCTGTAACCACAAGAAAGAGGAAATTGCCAGTCATAAAAGACACACCGGTACAATTTGAACTCTGTGAGCAATACATCATGAATGAAACACGACCAAAAGAACCACCTCTAGTCTTCAAGATAATCTACACACCACACATCAAAACCAGCAGCTAACAAAAGTATTGCTAAAAGACTGGCATTTAATTTCGGACAATTCCTGCCTATAAAAGGCCAAAAATCTTAAAGGTGTACTTGTCAAATCAAGGTTTATCAATAACCGGGAATTGGACTTAGAATTACAAGGTTCACACAAAATTTTATTAGATGCACTTATGTGTATCTATGCACCCTTACATTTGACACGACTAATTTAGCTGTTAATACTGGATTTGGCTTACTACTGATAATAGCATGAGAGCAGAAACCGGTCCAGTTGGGTCTTAGAGCCATTTCTAGTCCGCATTTTTACTTATTAAAATAAAAGTACACTCAAATCAACATAGAGGTGTTATTTTTTTTTTCTTGAGAAAATGCCATGAGCTCATGATTTCTCGAGCATTCCCTAATAAATGCTAGTCTGAGTACATGTATCACCCGTTATCCACGGAGCCCAGACTCCTGTCTGACGTCTCATATATCAAAGCATGCAGATTTATGCGATCTCGCACCTCAGCCAATCAAAGTCGACTTTACTAAATCGTGACGTCATTTCATTCCCAAATCAGGACTAAACATTTGATTGGTCATTGCAAATGCAGTGTTTTGTAATGCAACAGCGACCACCGTTGGAAATGGATACAAAAATATCATTTTCTTGAAAATTACTTCACACCAGGTGCCATAATTTTCAGGATGCTTTAGATTGTCATTTACCAACATCCTAGTAAGGTATTTCGTAAAAACATTGTAGTTTTATTTTCTGATGTTTAGGCCTACAAATGTATATTCCTGTTAAGCATCCAAACAACTATTAGCATTTTTTAAATAGTAAAAAAGAAATGATTTAACAAGTAGGGAAATGATTTAACAAGTAATTTATGGAGGAAATGTGCATACTTTGTGCATGCGTAATTCCATACCCGTAATTCCGTTACCGTTTCGTAATTCCATTACCACTTGGAAAAATGCCAAAAAATTACTATTTTAAAGTTTTTATTTACGTTTAGGGTCTTTTCTCAACATACATGATTTGAAGAAAAAAAACAAGAAAATTTGTGAAATAAGTAACTTTTGCCATTTTTTCGGTAACAGAATTACCGTACGTGCTAATTTTGACATTTTTAAATGAAGGCCTACACTATATATATTTATATTTTTAGATTTTTTTTTAATGACCCTGAGTAATGTTAGTACCGGTAACTTGTAACATCATAAAATAAATCAAATCTTTTCCCTATAATTCAGAAAGTAATACATACACAAAATTTAATTTTTTTACCAAATCTGAACGTTTTTAATCATAAATTGCAAAAATCACTGTTTTTACCAGAAATATGTATTTTTTTTTCAATTTCGTTTTTTGAACAGAATTCCCCATTTAATTGAGGTCTGGAAAAAGTACAAAAAAGGTTTAGTAGTATGTAAATATTTATTTTTGACATTTTTTGCTCTCCCATGGAGAATTGCTCATGTTTAGGCTTAGTTTATAGCTTATTTTTGCTTTAGAAGCATAGGCCTACTCACCCTCTTTAAAGGCTAATCAGAAAGTGCTGCCTTTTTCAGATGTCTATTTTCCGTGAAATTTCATGTTGAAATTTTGATACGAAAACGTGTGCAAACAAATCTTGAAATTACACGAAAAATAGACATCTGAAAAAGGCAGCACTTTCTGATTAGCTTTTAAAGAGGGTGAGTAGGCCTATGCTTCTAAAGCCAAAACAAAAATAAATGTCTAAGCCTAAATGTGTTTTTGTACATGGTGGGGTAATCCTTACTTTTAGGACCCCGTTCCTATATAGGAAGGGAAAGACTCACCAAAACAGTTGACTAAATGACACTCAAAATTGACATTCTGATATTTATTGGCACATCTGAACAATTGGCAATGACACCTTCTTGAATATCAGCAGTTTTTATTTTGTGGAAAGAGGGCAGGGCTCTGATTTATGAGGGAAATTCAGGGGTAAAAGACGACGATGACAACCAGAAAACAGACTCAAAAACCAAGATGGCAAACGTGAAAGCTCGATGCGATGAAAGCTCAATGCTGATTGGCTGATAAAAAAAAATCTTATTTAATTTTAATCTGGTTCCCAGACCAAAAGATTCAGGAATAGTCAGAATCTTTTGGTCTGAGAACCAGACTAAAAAAACTTATTTATTTTTAGTCTGGTTCCCAGACCAAAAGATTCAGGAGTAGTCAGAATTTTTTGGTCTGGGAACCAGCCTAATTCATTTTTTAGCAGCAAATCAGCATCGGGCTTTCATTATGTAGGGCTTTCACGCGTGTGAGAACTATTGTTGATGTACCCTAACGTGGCGCAGCCCCTAACGTGGGCACTTTGATTTTTCACCTGTAGCGCCTAGCTAGAGCAAAAATTTTAACTGAATTTTCACAGAAAGTTAAATTTCATCAAGTTCTAAACACTCCCGTTCATAAATTGCGAGTTTATTTACCCGCTACAAAGCTAAAAGAAAAATTTATTTTGCCGTGATTTTCGATTTTATTTTCAAACTGTGCAAAGTGAAACCTTTGAAAATGCCCCGAAAAATAAGAAAATAAGTTTCTGACAAACATCTGGCTGGGTATGTAAGTAGAAATAATAATGATTTATCAGAATTTATCAAGTTTACAGAAATTCTTAAATGTTAACTTGGACTTTTCCGAGATTTATTTAAGTGCGCCACGTTAGGGAACACTCCGCCAATTTGTGCCCAATTTCCGGACGCCACCGTTTTTTAATTTCGGCTTAAATTTTATGAAACCGAAATTGTTCACAGAGGTTAAATAGCAAGCATTAATAAGGTAAAAGTACCAGTATTTCACTGCATGAATTTGAGGTTTGTCAACAAAGAGGTTTGGCAACACTACACGAAGTTGGGTAAGCTTCGAAGTGCGCCACGTTAGGGAACACGACTATACAACATGCACGTCTGACTGCGAAAAAAGGTAGGAAAGTCACATTTTCTTCGAAAGTTCTTTCAAATCTAGTATCATGAGTTTATATGAAGAAAAAAGACTGCTTTAGCCTGCAAAAGTCACTTTGGTGCTGGACAGTTATCTGCAAAAGTCAGTTTTGAATAGAACTTGTAGGCCCCTAGTTGTAAAATATAGAGGTGTCCTAGTACTAGTAGTAGTAAAAGTAAGGATTACCCATGGTGGACGTGTGGCCTATGTTTACGGAGGTAGTCCAGTAACTTGGCCACATTTATGGGGCTAGGATATGTATAGCCACGTTCACGGGTCTAGGCTACTCCCAAACTGGGACCGTGAGTGCATAAAAATGTGCAACATTACTACTGACGTTTTTTTACTCACCATTCAGCTAATTAATTCCCACACAACACATAGGCCTACATCAAAATGCTTAAGTTGCAAGCATGTCACGTACCTTTCAAAATGTGAGACCTTAAATCCAATTTTAAGGCAAGTTTTTGACAGTTCAAAAATCATCCACGTCAATCTCCACGCTCTGGAAATGTGTATGTGATTCCCAAGGTTTTCTGGGTAGGTGTAGGAAGCTTAGGAAGAGCCTTGCAGCTAACTTGTTTTTTAATCGATGGCCAAATGAACATAGCGCCCTCTGTTAAAAAAAGAAACATTCTGCATTCACTCAGATCAACAAGAGGGCGCTGTTTTATCTACACGATGAAAATGTTTTAGCTAGCTGAGGACTGATAGTGATAGTCCAGCGGATATGTGAAAAAATTGTGCACTTTTGCATAAGAGCGTGAAACTTGGCACAGATGTTTATATTCATGCGAGAAAATGTTTCAGATGTGGAGCCATCGCAAATTTACCCTTTTAGGGGCGTGGCATCCATTTAAAAAAAGGGGGGCGGGACTTGTCGTGCCCGCAGTGAAAATGGTTTTTCCCACTTGTTACAAAAGCAGGAAACTTCACAAAGACATAATTATATAGATTATTAGTGTTTTCCAGATTCGGAGCCACCACAAAAGTACTTTTTTGGGGGCGTGGCAGCCATTAAAAGAAAAGGGGGGGTTTAATTATTATGCCCACTTTGGAAAACATTGTGCCCATATTTCATGAACGAATAAAACGTCCCACAGACGTTTATATTCATGAGAAAAAAAATTCCAGATGTGGAGCCATCTTGAACACACCCTTTTAGGGGCGTGGCAACCATATCAGAAAAAAAAGAGGGCAGGGTTTTCATTATGCCCACCCTGGAAATATTGTTCCCACACTCATAGAGAAATGGAACTTTCCACAAACATTGACATTCACGAGAAAAACTATTCCAGACGTGGAGCCATCTCGAACACACCCTTTTAGGGGCGTGGCAACCATATAAGGAAAAAAAGGAGGTGGGGTTTTCATTATCCCCACCCTGGAAATATTGTTCCCACACTCATAGAGAAATGGAACTTTCCACAGACATTGACATTCATGAGAAAAACAATTCCAGATGTGGAGCCATCGTGAACACACCCTATTAAGGGCGTGGCAACCATATTGAAAAAAGGGGGGCGGGGTTCTCATTATGCCCAACATGGAAAAAAATGTGCCCACATCTCATAAACGAATGAAGCTAATTCCCACAGACATTAATACATGTACCGGTATTCAAGAGAAAAAAAAAGTCACACATGAAGCCATCGTAAACACACCGTTTTAGGGGCGTGGCAGCCATAGTAAAATGGGGGGAGGGGAGGGGGTTAGTCATGATGCCCCTATAAAAGAAAGTCATGCCTACCTTTCATTAATGGATTAAACTCCACACGGACAATATATTCATGAAAATCTTTCCTTTTTTTTTGTAATTTGAAGCCATCACAAACTTATCCTTTTAGATGCATGGCATCTATTTTTTTAAAAATGGGGGGGGGGGGGTGCTACTAATAATTTAGCACCAACCATATTGAAAAAAAGGGGGCGGGGTTCTCATTATGCCCAACGTGGGAAAAATGTGCCCCACATCTCATAAACGAATGAAGCTATTCCCACAAACATTAATACTCACGAGAAAAAAATCACATGTGGAACCATCGTAAACACACCCTTTTAGGGGTGTGGCAGCCATAATAAAAATGGGGGGGGGATAGTCACGATGCCCCTATAAAAGAAAGTTGTGCCTACCTTTCATAAATGGATTAAATTCCACTAGGACAATATATTCATAAAAATCTTTTTTTTTTTAATGTGAAGCCATCACAAACCTACCCTTTTAGAGGTGCGGCGTCCATTTTTAAAATGGGGGGGGGAGGGGGTACTCAATATGCACAACGCGGACAATTTTGACCGCGATTCATATAATAAAATCCACCCCATATAGCTGTTTAATGTATTGGAGTAGGGCCGCCTTTATAGTTGGAAGTTACTGTTGGCAAACCCTTTGTTTTCTTTCACTATGCATTCTTGCCTCATCTATATTAACCCAGTTACTGTTAACCTTTCAACTGCAGCAATATCTGAATTGGGGTATAAACTGGGGTGCCTCAGTTAGTCCTGGAATGACTAGTGTTACTTCTCCAAATACATTGTTTCCCCCGCCTCTTTTTCTGACGGACAAAAGGGGTTGTGTGGTGGGGGTACACAGATTCATTGAATGTGAAGTCATAGTGGACGTGTCCACCACTTTGTGAGGCGAGTACATCGTGTTGTTACCCAATCTGCTGTCAATGCGGCGCAACGGGTAGGGGGTAGGGGGATTTTACACTCCCCCCCCTAAAAAAAAAATTTTCCATGGCCCTTAAATGTTAAATGTTAGAGTTTAGGGCTGCCATTGTGTGCTGTGTATTTGTAATTATGAAATCACTCTGGAATTTAGATGTGCATGATAATATAGGTGCAAGTACACACATTGAACCCTATAACACGGGTTAGCCTACCGGTACTTACCCATGCTCTTTGGTGTAAGTCAAATAATATAGGTTATGGGCCAGTCAACATTATAAGAAATCAACAACAAAATATAAAAATTGCAATTGTGGGCACAGTGAGTAGGCCCCTCACACCTCTAAAAGGATGAGTTTGCTGTGGTTCTACATGTGAATTTATTATCTTGCACCGAGTTTGTGTGAAGTTTAGTCATTTATGAAAGTTCGATGGTGAAAAAATTATTAGTAGCACCCCCCCCCCCCATTTTAAAAAAAAATAGATGCCATGCATCTAAAAGGATAAGTTTGTGATGGCTTCAAATTACAAAAAAAAGGAAAGATTTTCATACATATATTGTCCGTGTGGAGTTTAATCCATTAATGAAAGGTAGGCATGACTTTCTTTTATAGGGGCATCATGACTATCCCCCTCCCCTCCCCCCATTTTACTATGGCTGCCACGCCCCTAAAACGGTGTGTTTACGATGGCTTCATGTGTGACTTTTTTTTTCTCGTGAATATTAATGTCTGTGGGAATTAGATTCATTCGTTTATGAGATGTGGGCACATTTTTTTCCATGTTGGGCATAATGAGAACCCCGCCCCCCCCCCTTTTTTCAATATGGTTGCCACGCCCCTAATAGGGTGTGTTCACGATGGCTCCACATCTGGAATTGTTTTTCTCATGAATGTCAATGTCTGTGGAAAGTTCCATTTCTCTATGAGTGTGGGAACAATATTTCCAGGGTGGGGATAATGAAAACCCCGCCCCCTTTTTTTCCTTATATGGTTGCCACGCCCCTAAAAGGGTGTGTTCGAGATGGCTCCACATCTGGAATTTTTTTTCTCATGAATATAAACGTCTGTGGGACGTTTTATTCGTTCATGAAATATGGGCACAATGTTTTCCAAAGTGGGCATAATAATTAACCCCCCCTTTTCTTTTAATGGCTGCCACGCCCCCAAAAAGGTACTTTTGTGGTGGCTCCGAATCTGGAAAACACTAATGATAATCTATATAATTATGTCTTTGTGAAGTTTCCTGCTTTTGTAACAAGTGGGAAAAACCATTTTTACTGCGGGCACGACAAGTCCCGCCCCCTTTTTTTAAATGGATGCCACGCCCCTAAAAGGGTAAATTTGCGATGGCTCCACATCTAAAACATTTTCTCGCATGAATATAAGGCGAAGTAAAAAAAAAAAACATGTTTAGCGTCCCCACCCGCTTCCTTTTTAGAGGCCGCCTCCTTTTTTTTTTTCTTTTTCTTTTTTTAAAAAAGACAAAAATTTATAAATTTTAACGATCTCTGACGAAAGAAATAATATTTTTAGACTTTTATACCGTGTATAAAGCTGTGGAAATAGTCAATGAGTCCAAGTGGCGGCCATTTTGAAAAAAGCTGGTAACCATCTTGAAAAATAGCCCGGCCGCGTTGTCTTGAAAAATGTGTCGGGCGGCCATTTTGAAAAGAAAAAAAAAAAAAAAGGGCCTCCTCCTTCCTTTTTGTCAAAGAGGCAGGACGCTAAACATGGTTTTTTTTATTTTGCCTAAACATCTGTGCCAAGTTTCACGCTTTTATGCAAAAGTGCACAATTCATCGATATTTTGTCACATATCCGCTGGACTATGAGGAGTCTTTTTGCACAATGCAGTGCAGTACACATCAACGTGATGTTTCGCGTTTGGATTTCGATAATTCCCTGCAAAATTAGGATTAAACGCTGAATTTTTGGTGATGCAATGCTCACAATAGCAACTTTGTAGGGCAGAAGTTTCGGGGATTATTGAAGAAACTGTAGTGAGTAAGAAGCTTGCACATTTGATTCACACTGGTTTTATTATGCAGCACAAAGTTTTGCACGATATGGATACCTTAAGTTTTGGGACTCTCATACAGTATTGAGAGTCCCAAATTTTCGGACTAGGCTACTCCATCATGTACGTCAATGGGCTGAAGGCAGTAGTAGTAGTACTTACATAGAGGAAGCCTGGTTCCTCCAATCCATCATGTCCATGGTATCCGGTACTAGTACTTTAGCAGCCAGTAGTAGAGCATAGAGTACCCATCCATATGCGATTGCGATTCCAAATCAAACCGTAGGGCCTACTTTCTTACAGTATCGATAACCTAATGAAGTACAAGTATTGTTAGCCTTCAAGGGAAAATCCTTTAGTGTATATACATGTATCGAATATGTTTCCTGGAACCTGCCATTCAGAATTCAGAGCTGAACCGGTTACGTTTACGCGCACTCTCCACGTTCACACGCACACGGCTATCGGATTTTTGACTAGTACTAGTCGGACACTTCGCCCCTAACCACTTCGCCCCATGTCACTTCGCCCCTAACCACTTCGCCCCATCCCCACTTCGCCCCATCCCCTTTCGCCCCATCCCCTCTTCGCCCCATCCTCACTTCGCCCCATTCCCACTTTGCCCCGGCCCAGCCGTTACATGTAAAAAAAAAATTCTTACCAGTTAGGCCAAAAAAAAAGTCTCCGGTTTCTGGTACGGAGCTTGCCCAAAAAGTGGTGCGGCGACGTGGCTTTTTTTTTTAAGTTATTTTTTGCTTCAAATGTCGGCTGATGACTGCAAATGGTGCCCCGACTAAACTTAGTGCAAATATATGGGAGTCCAGAGAGGCCACATAGGCTTATTCTCGACCATAACCCAATCTAAAAACACGTTAAAATTGTGCAGCAGAAGGATTCCAGTCAAACCAGTGAGTTTGGCGGTTTTGAGACATCATCTTTCATTGAAAAAAAAACTTTTTCATTTTGCCGACGCGCATGGCTACGGCGACGCGTGCGCATACCAGAATCCGGAGACTTTTGTTTTTTTTTGCCTTATGTTATGTTATGCTCATTAAAGTGCTGAGATGTAAATTAAAGCTCATTAGCTCATTAAAGTGCTTATAAACTGCCTGAGAGATGTACATTCTATGTCCTTTCAATATTTGTTCTTCAAACGGATTTCGTAACATTTTTACTGAGTTTTAACTTGTTTCCAGACCTCCAATTTCGAAATTTTTGGACTTATTTTTCAATCCTAAACATTTAGCTAGAGATGCAGTGGCATTTTAGTCCATGCAGCTTTTCCTTAATTTCTCCGTTTTCAAATCGATAATCTTTCGTCAGTCCGTCACCAACGCGCTGGACTGATCTTCAATTTTCAATAGACCGCTTGCAGATACGTTCGATAATCGACGCGCAAAGGCGCGCGACACCATGTTGTGGGACAAGCATATATCTATCCACGCACATTTGTCCCACAACATGGCGTCGCGCATCTTCGCGCGTCAATTATCGATCGCGTCTGCAAGCGGTCTATAGGCCAGTGTTCTCCACACGGCATCCTCTCCAATAATTATCACGCCCGCTTTGTACTGCCGGTGCCAACGAAGGCCAATCTATGAAGCCCGGGAAGGGAGCGGTGGAATTTTTTTTTGGAATTACTAATTCGTTCGCACGAATTACTAATTCGTTCGTACGAATTGCCAATTCGTTTGCACGAATTGCTATTTCGTTCGCACGAATTCCTAATTCGTTCGCACGAATTACTATTCGTGGGAACGAATTAGTAATTCGTTCGAACGAATTACTAATTCGTTCGCACGAATTCCTATTTCGTTCGCACGAATTACTTACTGATCTGCACCCCAGCCTTCACCTTTTTCATCCTGCATGGGGCGAAGCGGGGATGGGGCGAAGCGGGGATGGGGCGAAGCGGGGATGGGGCGAAGCGGGGATGGGGCGAAGCGGGGATGGGGCGAAGCGGGGATGGGGCGAAGCGGGGAGCGATTTTTTTTTACACAACTATCTGGGGTACTTTGTGCGCTTTCCTATGGGGCTTGGTTTTTTATAACCAGGCTTGAGTGGAGGCTACTATTTTTCAACTTGGTACGGATTTCGGACTTTATTTCCCTTTTTTAAAACAATCCTCCAGAGCCTCAGATCAGGAAAAGAAAAAGGAAATTGCTGCTATACAAGTAGTATCCGACTGAAAAATAACGTTTTTAAGATTCAACTTTAAATTGTTGAAAAAAAGAGCAAAATCTTTGTTGGCAGAGCGAGGAATCGAACTCGAGACCTCCGATCACTAACTAGCATGCCTAACCACTAAGCAACGGCGGTGCTCGAAAAAGTCACTGCAATTCATAAATTATATACTTTCACACATGTGGAGAGAGTATACGCGCGCGCGCGCACGCGCGTAGGTAAAATGTTACAGGATTGTAACAATCTTATAACCGTGATTCAAGTCGCCTGAAAAATGGGTACCCCAGATAGTTGTGTATATTCGCAAGCGGGGATATGATGGGGCGTAGCGGGGATGGGGCGAAGGTAGCCCGACTGCGTCTGGCCGTACAGTACTATCGCAAGCTCTGTGCGTAGTACGGCCAGACGCCCAATGCTTCCACAGAGACTGATTTTTTTTTGGCCGCTGATGTAGCGATTTTGCTACAGATTTCGATCGAGATTATCTTTTCATCCAGGACACAAATTTCCAAAGTTAAGGTTCTTAGTCGTAGAGCAACTCATACCTTTTCGAAAAACACGTTCTTTGGTCTCAATTTTTTCATCCATCTGGCCAAAAGACGACTTTCAGTCATCATCTTCCACAAATATCGTCCCGAAAACGCTCCCCCGTGCGATTTCAAAATGGCGTCCGCGCTGTAATGTATGCATTATGCGAGCGCGCTTGGGCAACATAATGAATATGCATCATATATTTTATGACGTTTGTCGGACACTCGGCACGGCTGGCCATACAAACACGAGGTCATGAACTGAATAATGCATATTCATTATCTTGCCCAAGCGCGCTCGCATAATGCATATATAACAGCGCGGCCGCCATTTTGAAATCGCATGGGGGAGCATTTTCGGGACGATATTTGTGGAAGATGATGACTGAAAGTCGTCTTTTGGCCAGATGGATGAAAATATTGAGACCAAAGAACGTTTTTTCGAAAAGGTATGAGTTGCTCTTCGACTAAGAACCTTAACTTTGGAAATGTGTGTCCTGGATGAAAAGATATAATCTCGATCAAAATCTGTAGCAAAATCGCTACATCAGCGGCCAAAAAAATTTCGGTTCTCAAGATGGTTGTAATCGAATATGGAGGGCGCTGTGCGTTGCTGGGTATGACGTAGGGTGTCGAGCAGTACGTGCCAACCACTACCTGCTCCCTATTTGAAACGAGGTTGGCACTGGGGACGAAGCACTGGGGACGAAGTTGGGTGATACGGGTCTGTGAGCCTACACAAAGACCAAGTCCATTGTTTACAAGTCAGCTTGCGTTTTATTCACTGTCTTCAAAGTTTTCAATCAGCCAATCGCGCTCTTCAAGAAACAGAATAACTAACGCTTCGTAACGCCCCAAAAAAGTCTCCCGGTTACTGGTATGCGCGCGTGTCATGCGTGTCGGCAAAATATTTTTTTTTTCAATGAAAGAAGATGTCTTAAAACCGCCAAACTCACTCGACTGGAATTCTGCTGCTGCATAATTTTAACGTGTTTTTAGAAGTGGTTACGATCCGGAGATTAAGCTTTATGTGGCCTCTCGAGACTCCATATATTTGCATTAAGTTTAGTTGGGCACCATTTGCAGTCATCAGCCGACATTTGAAGGGAAAAAAACGGTAAAAAAAAAAAAAGAAGAAAAAAGCCGCGTCGCCGCACCACTTTTTGGGCAACTGAAGCTCCATACCAGAAATTGGAGACTCTTTTGGCTTAATTCCTCTCTTTATTTTTTTAATGCAATGTCCTCTATGGAGCACCGTAGTGACAAATGCCGCGCGGTGTGTAAATTATGCGGCCGGAGCAGCCGATTTGCGGCTAAACTTGACAGATGTTTTTGTTAAAAATCGAATTTTGCAAGTTACATGGATATTTGACGGAAAGCATAACAAATTCAAAGAACAAAGATACATTTGTTTAAAAAAGCTTCCATCTTTTTTTCAACTGAAACAAATTGCATAATGGGACGGGTTGGCTGGTCTAGGTGCTGATGTTCAATGGGAATCGGACTTCGTGACGCAACCCGGGGGATTAAGCCTGCAATTTACACAATTTCATAACCTCATTACCTTATATAAAGATGGCTTATAAAGTAATTTGAACCTTAAAGGCTTAATTAAGGCAATACTACAACGTCTACATGTGGTTTTAAGCAGTGGCGTCGCCAAGGGGGGGGGGGGGGGGGCCAGGGGGGCACGTGCCCCCCTGGAAAACCTAGTGCCCCCCCGAGTGCCCCCCCCCCCATCAAATGCTGGTGCCCCCCTATCCTCTGCAAAATTCTGCGCGTTGTTAAAATCATTACCTCAAAAAAAGCAATTTCTTGAGATATCTTCAGATCGAATTTAGCATCAAATGTGGCACCATTTTGCATCTAGCCCATCCTCCGTATGCGAAAATTTTCCAAAGGGGAGGGGGGCACCCCCTCCATTTAGACCCCTCCCCCAGGACGGCGATCCGTATCCACCTAAGTGCCCCCCCCCCCCCCATCAAATGCTGGTGCCCCCCCCCCCCCCCCTGTGCCCCCCAGACTGAAAAGTCTGGTGACGCCACTGGTTTTAAGTGTTTATAGTGTATTTCGAGTAATTCTGGGGAATTTGGCAGATTTTTGATAAATTGGACAGATTTTTGAATTGCATTTAGCAGAATTATTCCATGATCTTACGGTCACCTTTGGGCTCAATCATGCCAATTGACGAGTGTGAATGTCATGCATGCAGCAGCAGATTTAGAATGTGTACTGTTGGCCTAGTGTCATGCATTGTCATGTATGTTGCGTTGTCTGCTAAGTGCTAGCGCAGCTAGTTAGCTACATCATAGCTATAGCTTGACCCAGAACCTCACACGACTGTGTTTAATACCTCGTGGTTCGCACTTAAACCTGTAAACTAGACTAAAAAATTAAGCGCGATAGGCTTAACTTTTGTATTGTGTTATTTTGCCGTGAAGCAAAGGGGTATAGGTTTCAATAAAACTGGAACGAAAACATACACACTGACCAGTGTTGTAGTCGAGGCCACAACCTCCGAGGCCGAGGCCAAGGCCGAGGCCACAACCTTCGAGGCCAAGGCCGAGGCCGAGGCCACAACCGCGAGGCCAAGGCCGAGGCCACCTCCGAGGCCAAGGCCGAGGCCGAGGCCAGCTATCAAAACACGTAATAAAATATAATCAATAAAACCAGTCTAAGATTATGTTGGAGTTTTAACATCTTTTTAGTTGAATTCACTGAGTTTTGGAGTGCCTGGCCGTACAGCTTGCAATGGGTTTCCTCTTG